AAAGGGAAGAAGGCAGGTGAGCAATGCATTCATGCGATTGGCTTTGCTGTAAAGACTCAACTCATGGAGCATTCCAACCTCATCCCCATTACTATCAGTGAAGATGATCTTCTGAATCCCACTTAAGCATGTTACTTTCTTAACTCTCATCTTCCATTTGTATTAATTTCAGTGGTTTTGGTGATATTATTATTAAGTGAAAACTATATTTACTAATCATAAATGATTAATAAAAATCATCAAATCATCATTCAAATTTTCAGTTTTTTTGTTAGTGTATAAACATGCCATTTTTTTTCTAAGTATAGACAACCATACACAATGTTATCATATATAAATAATAATAAATTTAAAGCTAAAATTCCTAAAATTCAATAAAACTAATTAGATTACAAAGAATGTTTTTCTAAATTTTAAAGATTACTGAGTACTTAAAAATTAAATAAAAATGGCACTCGTGTTATTTTCTTCAATTATGTTTTATAGATAGTCTCCATAGAACAACATTAGATCTGTCATCACTTCATCAAACATGTCTGTACAGCTACTGTCAGTTAAAAACACAGCTACTGTCTGGTTAAAAATGCAATTCTGCAATATTTTAAACTTTAAGTAAATAATATTTGTTTCAAATCAGTTTAATAATACTTTAAATTAGATGATATTCCTCAAATAAAGTTTAAGAAAATTAAATTTTATTTTTGGAAGATTTTTTAATAAAGAGAATTACATTACATAAATTTATTCATAAGGGTCCCAAAATGAAAGGATTTGAAATTGACAACTTTTTCCATTTCACTGAAACAGACGTTAAACATATCTATCTTCCCTTTTTGCTTTCTTTCATCTTCTCACTGAAGCCAAGTAGTGTCTCTGAAACATCTTTTCCATCTTCAACCAGATCAAAATGGAATAGTCCAATATATATGAGGTACTGGCAAGAGATGTTAAACACTTCTATCTTCCACTTTTCTTTCTTTCATCTTCTCACTGAAACCAAGTAGTGTCTGATATGTCTGCTCCATCTTTCACCCGATCAAAATGGAATAGTCCATTTTTTATAAGGTATCTTATATGCAAGATACTTTTTTCACTTTTATCTTCCTTTCTTTCATTTTCCCAGTGAAAGCAAGTAGCATCTCTGATATGTTTTATCCATCTTTCCACCCACTCAAAACAGAATAGTCCATTATTTATGAGGTACTGGTAGGAGATGTTAAACCCTTCTATCTTCTTTCTTTCATTTATTTTCTCACTGAAACCAAGTAGCATCTCTTATATATCTTACCATCTTTCCACACAGTCAAAATGGAATAGTACATTATTTACATACACTTGCATAGCATATGAGATATAAATAAAAGTATAGAATATCAAGTAGCCAGTGTGAGTGAGTGTCCACATGATAGTCTGAGTAACAGTTGGATGTAACAGTTCAAGTTAAAGTAATTAAGAAATCTTCCTGTCTTGTATATTCCCGGTTGTATGAAAATCAGAAAAAACTGAAGTAAAACAAATAAAAACAATTTCAGTGATATAAACATTTCAGCTTTTGATCATGTATTAAGTTATTAGAAATTTTATACACTTCAAGTAACACACTTTAAAATTGAGCTAAACGTTTTTTTTTAACATTCATGTGCATTTTGTGCTGACTATTATGCATGCACATGAAATATAAATAAAAGTATAGTATAACAAGTAGTCAGTGTGAGTGAGAGTCCACCTGATAGTCTGAGTAGCAGTTGGATGTAACAGTCCAAGTTTGTATTTACTCAACCTCCCACAAGGTCAGGTTGTGACACAAAGTCGGTTTAATGTGAGGAGCCAAAGTGCGTACACCTAGGAACAAAATTGCCTGCAGACCCTGCAACCATCAGTTGCACTGGTTTTGGTGTGAGCACCAATCCCTCTCTCTGGTGCAATGAGAGGGTGGGGCCTTGGGCAGTTGTTCCCCAGGGCTGGGCACCTCTCAGTATAATTTTCTTCAGTTGTGACTCTGTTCTTTGACTGAGCCACCCCTGAGTGCACTCTGCCCAAAGACAGAAACACAACTGAGAGATGATAAATATGGTGTTACAAACTACTCGAGAGAGTAATTTACACACTAGTCCAAGTTACAGTAATTAAGAAATCTTCCTGTGTCTTGTTTATTCCCTATTGTATGAAAACTGTTTTCATAAGAAGAAATTGGAGTAAAAAAAAAACAGTTTTTATAAAGCATCTATAAATATTTCGGATTTTCACTTTATATGCTATCTTATTTTCCTATTTGCTTTTGCAAGGTCAAATTTTCAACATCTTTTTCACAATGTAACCATAGCAGTTATCTTCTAGACTAAAATCTTTTAACTTTTTTCCCTTTTTTTTTTTTAACTATTTAAAACATTCTTATGTTTTCATTTTCCTTACATTCATTTTGGTTTGGAAATACATAACATTTTACTCCCCTTTTCCATCCAATATATTAAATCAGCAAGTTAGGTTATTCTTTCTCTCTACCAACTAGATAGAAAGTTCATGGTAAGATGTTCTTTATGTTATAGGGAGATAAGAGATAAAGGAATGAAGTGTGCAGTATTGGCATGGAAAGTTGAATGCAAGCAGGTTTCATGTAGATTACTCTTTAAGAAGAAAATAGCATTTATAAATGTTGTCATTGAGTGACAAAAGAGGGTAGATTAGGGAAATGAAGAGAAAGTAAAAAAAAAAATGATTATAAAAAGAAAAAATACCCGAAAAAGAAAATCAACAACATTAAAAATAAATGAATAATGGCATAAAGTGGAAAGATTTTATTTAATCCATTGTTAGGATAAAGAAAGTTTGTTTACTGTGTCATGCAAAACAATTTTTCTATCCAGAATCTATTTTAGCAACCCTCATTTCAATTTCAAACATTTTTATTGAATTTCATTGGTTGTTAAATAAAAAATAAGCTTCAAGAAATTTCCATAACAAAACAGTCAAAATTTGTGCAAAAGTAGGCTCAACCAACATAAAAAAATCTTTCTCAAATTCATCTCTAATTTAAATGTTTCAAGAAATCCTATTGGTTAAAAAATAAAATATACAACATTCACTCTTGCATTTCTCAGAAAAATTAACAACAGCACCCAGGCCCCGTTAGAGCTGATTTCATTGTTAAGAAAACTATAAATAGAAACAGTAAACAAATTTTCGTTGCATTTGAGACTCACACACACAAAAGATACACATAGGAATTATGGGCCGCCAAAGAAACTGTTATATCTCGTGCAAGATATAATAAACAAAGTAAACCCGAGTGTTGGTTTTTTATAATAATTTTATGTCAAAATACAGAGACAGAGTCGGGAGTATGGTAACCTCAATAGGTGTTAACAAACGAAGACCTTTCCACTGTCCGTGGTGGTCGTACTTAATCGGCAACCAGTCCGTCCATTATCGTGAATGGGGAAGTTGGGTTATCTCATCACAACAGAAACAAACTTCCTTTATGAGAGATTAGAAAAATTTACATAACAAACTTTTTCGCTCAATATCTTTCATAGAAAAATCTTTTGTTTAAGTTAAATTCAACCTTTTTAATCAAAAGCAGACAACTTTTAGACATTGAACATTTCCAACACAGCAAAGAACTTTTTCTCTAAAATATACCTTTGCACACATCATTACAAACAAAGAAATTGTAAATTGTGTATGTAAAATTTAATCTGTTGTTTCAAACATGTATTTTTTGTCGTGAGTGAATATTGTTACCATTTGGCCATTTCTTATAATTTATGTTTGTGGATATTGCATATTTTATTTGCAGCACAATTTTAAATATTCATGCAGCCTTCCTAGATCCACTACACTATCATATATATCTATAAGTCTACCATTCATCCATGCTTAGAATATTACTGTTACATATAGTCCAGTGACCCTGCTATTTACCTTAAGCTCCTTGATAAAATCCAAAGAAGATACAATCAATCCTGATCTAGCGGCTTGGCTTCAGTCAGTTTCCCACCTCCATAAGGTTGCCTCCCTGTGCCTTTTCTATAAATACTTTCATGGTAATTGTTCAAATGAGCTCTTCACCATGGTACATAGGCTGTATGAATTTAAGCACAGTACTAGACTGGTGTCAAGATCTCATCAATTTATCATTGAGCTGGCTAGATATAGGAGTAAATTCTATGCCAACAGTTTCTTTCCTTGCATTTCTTGCTTGTGGAACTCCATTCCAGCTCCATGCTTTCCAGCCAACTTTAATCTGCAATGATTTAAATGCAATATCAATCACTATCTACTATCCTCCTGATTACTCTTTTCCTTTCCCGCTCAATATTAATGTTTCTGTTTCTAGTTCTTCCACACCAAGTAACCTCTTGTGCCTTAGTGGCTTTACCGCCTTGCTTGGGATAAAACCAATTAAAAAAAGCAATAAATAAAAAAATGAAGAAAAATATTAGAAAATATTTAAAATTAGGAAAAAAAGAAGGAAGACTGAGAAAAACGATGATGAATGGAAGAAATTAAATCAGAAACAGAATAAGGTAAGAATATGGAGAAGAATAAGGTAGAAAAAATTTAGATGAAGAAATAATATAAAGAAATAACAACAAGAAGAGACATTAGGAAGAATAGAAAATGGAATAGAAAATGATGTAGGTAACAATAAAATAAAGAAGAAAATGAAAAGCCTAAATAAATTATGTGTCTAAAGAAAATATAAAGATACTGAAAAAGATTTAAAAGTAGAAGAATCCTATGACAAAAATGAAAGATAGTAATGAAGAAGAAAAAGCAAAAATGGCAGAGATAAAGGAAATGTGGAGGGAAGAACTAATGTCTCAAGAGAATATAAAGAAACAGAAAAGATTTACAAGAGGAAGAATCCTATGACAAAATGGCAAAGATAGTAATGAAGAAGAAAAGGCAAAAATGGCAGAGATAAAGGAAATGTGGAGGAAGAATTAATGTTCAGAGAATATGAAAAACGGAAAAAGATTTAGGGAAGAATTAATGACTCAAGAGAATATGAAGAAACGGAAAAAAAGATTTACAAGAGGAAGAATCCAATGACAAAAATGAAAGATAGTAATGAAGAAGAAAAGGCAAAATGGCAGAGATAAAGGAAATGTGGAGGGAAGAACTAATGTCTCAAGAGAATATGAAGAAACGGAAAAAAAAGATTTACAAGAGGAAGAATCCTAAATGACAAAAATGAAAGATAGTAATGAAGAAGAAAAAAGGCAAAATGGCAGAGATAAAGGAAAATGTGGAGGGAAGAACTAATGTCTCAAGAGAATATGAAAGAAACATAAAAAAATTTACAAGAGAGGAAGAATCCAGAAAATGTGGAAACATGAAAGATAGTAATGAAAAGAAAAAAACAAAAAATGGCAGAGATAAAAAAATGTGGAGGGAAGAACTAATGTCTCAAGAGAATATAAAGAAACAGAAAAAGATTTACAAGAGGAAGAATCCTATGACAAACATGAAAGATAGTAATGAAGAAGAAAAGGCAAAAATGGCAGAGATAAAAAAAATGTGGAGGGAAGAACTAATGTCTCAAGAGAATATAAAGAAACAGAAAAAGATTTACAAGAGGAAGAATCCTATGACAAACATGAAAGATAGTAATGAAGAAGAAAAGGCAAAAATGGCAGAGATAAAGGAAATGTGGAGGGAAGAACTAATGTCTCAAGAGAATATGAAGAAACGGAAAAAGATTTAAAAGAGGAAGAATCCTATGACAAAAATGAAAGATAGTAATGAAGAAGAAAAGGCAAAATGGCAGAGATAAAGGAAATGTGGAGGAAAGAACTAATGTCTCAAGAGAATATGAAGAAACAGAAAAAGATTTAAAAGAGGAAGAATCCTATGACAAAAAATGAAAGATAGTAATGAAGAAGAAAAAAAATGGCAGAGATAAAAAGAAATGTGGTTAGGAAGAACTAATGTCTCAAGAGAATATAAAGAAACAGAAAAAAGATTTACAAGAGGAAGAATCTTGTGACAAAAAATGAAAGATAGTAATGAAGAAGAAAAGGCAAAAATGGCAGAGATAAAGGAAATGTGGAGGAAGAACTAATGTCTCAAGAGAATATAAAGAAACAGAAAAAATGAAAGATTTACAAGAGGAAGAATCCTATGACAAAATGAAAAATAGTAATGAAGAAGAAAGAAAAAAGGCAAAATGGCAGAGATAAAGGAAATGTGGAGGGAAGAACTAATGTCTCAAGAGAATATAAAGAAACAGAAAAAAGATTTACAAGAGGAAGAATCTATGACAAACATGAAAAATAGTAATGAAGAAGAAAAAAAACAAAATAAGCAGAGATAAAGGAAATGTGGAGGAAGAACTAATGTCTCAAGAGAATATAAAAAAACAAAAAAAAGATTTACAAGAGGAAAATCCTATGATAAAATGAAAGATAGTAATGAAGAAGAAAAGGCAAAAAATGGCAGAGATAAAGGAAATGTGGAGGGAAGAACTAATGTCTCAAGAGAATATAAAAAACAGAAAAAAGATTTACAAGAGGAAAAAAAAAATGATGAGACAAATATGAAAGATAGTAATGAAGAAGAAAAAGGCAAAAATAAAAGAGATAAAAAAAAATGTGGAGGGAAGAACTAATGTCTCAAGAGAATATAAAGAAACAGAAAAAGATTTACAAGAGGAAGAATCATGACAAACATGAAAGATAGTAATGAAGAAGAAAAGGCAAAAAATGGCAGAGATAAAAAAAATGTGGAGGGAAGAACTAATGTCTCAAGAGAATATAAAGAAACAGAAAAAAGATTTACAAGAGGAAGAATCCTATGACAAACATGAAAGATAGTAATGAAGAAGAAAAGGCAAAAAAATGGCAGAGATAAAGTAAATGTGGGAGGGAAGAACTAATGTCTCAAGAGAATATGAAGAAACGGAAAAAGATTTAAAAGAGGAAGAATCCTATGACAAAAATGAAAAAATGAAGAAAAAAAGATAGTAAAAGGAAATGAAGAAGAAAAGGCAAAAAAGATGGCAGAGATAAAAGAAAAAGGAAAAAATGTGGGAGGGAAGAACTAATGTCTCAAGAGAATATAAAGAAACGGAAAAAGATTTACAAGAGGAAGAATCCTATGACAAAATGAAAGATAGTAATGAAGAAGAAAAGGCAAAAATGGCAGAGATAAAGGAAATGTGGAGGGAAGAACTAATGTCTCAAAAGAATATAAAGAAACAGAAAAAAGATTTACAATAGGAAGAATCCTATGACAAAAAATGAAAAATAGTAATGAAGAAGAAAAAAAAAAAATGGCAGAGATAAAAGGAAATGTGGAGGAAGAACTAATGTCTCAAGAGAATATAAAGAAAACAGAAAAAGATTTACAAGAGGAAGAATCCTATGACAAAAATGAAAGATAGTAATGAAGAAGAAAAGGCAAAAAAATGGCAGAGATAAAGGAAATGTGGAGGGAAGAACTAATGTCTCAAGAGAATATAAAGAAACAGAAAAAGATTTAAAGAGGAAGAATCCTATGACAAAAAAATGAAAGATAGTAATGAAGAAGAAAAGGCAAAATGGCAGAGATAAAGTAAATGTGGAGGGAAGAAACTAATGTCTCAAGAGAATATGAAAGAAACGGAAAAAGATTTAAAAGAGGAAGAATCCTATGACAAAAATGAAAAGATAGTAATGAAGAAGAAAAGGCAAAATGGCAGAGATAAAGGAAATGTGGAGGGAAGAACTAATGTCTCAAAAGAATATAAAGAAACAGAAAAAAGATTTACAATAGGAAGAATCCTATGACAAAAATGAAAAAGTAATGAAGAAGAAAAAGGCAAAAATGGCAGAGATAAAGGAAATGTGGAGGAAGAACTAATGTCTCAAGAGAATATAAAGAAACAGGAAAAAAAAGATTTACAAAGAGGAAGAATCCTATGACAAACATGAAAGATAGTAATGAAGAAGAAAAAGGCAAAAATGGCAGAGATAAAGGAAAATGTGGAGGGAAGAACTAATGTCTCAAGAGAATATAAAGAAACAGAAAAAAGATTTACAAGAGGAAGAATCCTATGACAAAAATGAAAGATAGTAATGAAGAAGAAAAAGGCAAAAATGGCAGAGATAAAAAAAAATGTGGAGGGAAGAACTAATGTCTCAAGAGAATATAAAGAAACAGAAAAGATTTACAAAGGAAGAATCCTAAAGGACAAACATGAAAGATAGTAATGAAGAAGAAAAAAAAAAGGCAAAAATGGCAGAGATAAAAGAAATGTGGAGGAAGAACTAATGTCTCAAGAGAATATAAAGAAACAGAAAAAAAGATTTACAAGAGGAAGAATCCTATGATAAAATGAAAGATAGTAATGAAGAAGAAAAGGCAAAAATGGCAGAGATAAAGGAAATGTGGAGGGAAGAACTAATGTCTCAAGAGAATATAAAGAAACAGAAAAAGATTTACAAGAGGAAGAATCCTATGACAAAAATGAAAGATAGTAATGAAGAAGAAAAGGCAAAAATGGCAGAGATAAAGGAAATGTGGAGGGAAGAACTAATGTCTCAAGAGAATATAAAGAAACAGAAAAAAAAAGATTTAAAGAGGAAGAATCCTATGACAAAAATGAAAGATAGTAATGAAGAAGAAAAGGCAAAATGGCAGAGATAAAGGAAATGTGGAGGGAAGAACTAATGTCTCAAGAGAATATAAAGAAACAGAAAAAGATTTTACAAAATGAAAAGATGTAAAATGAAAGATAAATGAAGAAGAAAAGGCAAAAATGGCAGAGAGAAAAGGAAATGTGACAAAGAAAATAAGTCAAGAGAATATAAAGTAATGAAAAGAGGAAAAATCCTAAGACAAAAATGAAAAAAGTAAAGAAGAAGAAAAGGCAAAATGGCAGAGATAAAGGAAATGTGGAGGAAGAACTAATGTCTCAAGAGAATATAAAAAGAAACAGAAAAAATTTACAAGAGGAAGAATCCTGTGACAAAAATGAAAGATAGTAATGAAGAAGAAAAAGGCAAAAATGGCAGAGATAAAAAATGTGGAGGGAAGAACTAATGTCTCAAGAGAATATAAAGAAACAGAAAAAAGATTTACAAGAGGAAGAATCCTATGACAAAAAATGAAAGATAGTAATGAAGAAGAAAAAGGCAAAAATGGCAGAGATAAAGGAAATGTGGAGGAAGAAACTAATGTCTCAAGAGAATATAAAAGAAACAGAAAAAGATGTACAAGAGGAAGAATCCTATGACAAAAATGAAAGATAGTAATGAAGAAGAAAAGGCAAAAATGGCAGAGATAAAGGAAATGTGGAGGGAAGAACTAATGTCTCAAGAGAATATAAAAAAAACAGAAAAAAAGATTTACAAGAGGAAGAATCCTATGACAAAAAATGAAAGATAGTAATGAAGAAGAAAAGGCAAAAAATGGCAGAGATAAAGGAAATGTGGAGGAAGAACTAATGTCTCAAGAGAATATAAAGAAACAGAAAAAGATTTACAAGAGGAAGAATCCTATGACAAAAAATGAAAGAGAGTAATGAAGAAGAAAAAGGCAAAAAATGGCAGAGATAAAGGAAATGTGGAGGGAAGAACTAATGTCTCAAGAGAATATAAAGAAACAGAAAAAAAGATTTACAAGAGGAAGAATCCTGACAAATATGAAAGATAGTAATGAAGAAAAAAGGCAAAAATGGCAGAGATAAAGGAAATGTGGAGGGAAGAACTAATGTCTCAAGAGAATATGAAGAAACAGAAAAAGATTTAAAAGAGGAAGAATCCCTATGACAAAAATGAAAGATAGTAATGAAGAAGAAAAAGGCAAAAAATGGCAGAGATAAAGGAAATGTGGAGGGAAGAACTAATGTCTCAAGAGAATATAAAGAACAGAAAAAGATTTACAAGAGGAAGAATCCTATGATAAAAAATGAAAGATAGTAATGAAGAAGAAAAGGCAAAAAATGGCAGAGATAAAAGGAAATGTGGAGGAAGAACTAATGTCTCAAGAGAATATAAAAAACAGAAAAAGATTTACAAGAGGAAGAATCCTATGACAAATATGAAAGATAGTAATGAAGAAGAAAAGGCAAAAATGGCAGAGATAAAGGAAATGTGGAGGAAGAACTAATGTCTCAAAGAGAATATAAAACAGAAACAGAAAAAGATTTACAAGAGGAAGAATCCTATGAAAAATGAAAAGATAGTAATGAAGAAGAAAAGGCAAAATGGCAGAGAGATAAAAAATGAAAAATGTGGAGGGAAGAACTAATGTCTCAAGAGAATATGAAGAAACAGAAAAAAGATTTAAAAGAGGAAGAATCCTATGACAAAATGAAAGATAGTAATGAAGAAGAAAAGGCAAAATGGCAGAGATAAAGGAAATGTGGAGGGAAGAACTAATGTCTCAAGAGAATATAAAGAAACAGAAAAAGATTTAAAAGAGGAAGAATCCTATGACAAAAAAATGAAAGATAGTAATGAAGAAAAAAAAAAGCAAAATGGCAGAGATAAAAAAAATGTGGAGGGAAGAACTAATGTCTCAAGAGAATATAAAGAAACAGAAAAAGATTTACAATAGGAAGAATCCTATGACAAAAATGAAAAATAGTAATGAAGAAGAAAAAAGGCAAAATGGCAGAGATAAAGGAAATGTGGAGGGAAGAACTAATGTCTCAAGAGAATATAAAGAAACAGAAAAAGATTTACAAGAGGAAGAATCCTATGATAAAAATGAAAGATAGTAATGAAGAAGAAAAGGCAAAAATGGCAGAGATAAAGGAAATGTGGAGGGAAGAACTAATGTCTCAAGAGAATATAAAGAAACAGAAAAAGATTTACAAGAGGAAGAATCCTATGACAAAAATGAAAGATAGTAATGAAGAAGAAAAGGCAAAAATGGCAGAGATAAAAAAAATGTGGAGGGAAGAACTAATGTCTCAAGAGAATATAAAGAAACAGAAAAAAGATTTAAAAGAGGAAGAATCCTAAGACAAAATGAAAGATAGTAATGAAGAAGAAAAGGCAAAATGGCAGAGATAAAGGAAATGTGGAGGGAAGAACTAATGTCTCAAGAGAATATAAAGAAACAGAAAAAAAAATATTTACAAGAGGAAGAATCCTATGATAAAAATGAAAGATAATGAATGAAGAAGAAAAAAAAAATGGCAGAGATAAAGGAAATGTGGAGGGAAGAACTAATGTCTCAAAAGAATATAAAGAAACAGAAAAAGATTTACAAGAGGAAGAATCCTATGACAAAAATGAAAGATAGTAATGAAGAAGAAAAAAGGCAAAAATGGCAGAGATAAAGGAAATGTGGAGGGAAGACTAATGTCTCAAGAGAATATAAAGAAACAGAAAAAAGATTTAAAAGAGGAAGAATCCTATGACAAAAATGAAAGATAGTAATGAAGAAGAAAAGGCAAAAATGGCAGAGATAAAGGAAATGTGGAGGGAAGAACTAATGTCTCAAGAGAATATAAAGAAACAGAAAAAGATGTACAAGAGGAAGAATCCTATGACAAACATGAAAGATAGTAATGAAGAAGAAAAGGCAAAAATGGCAGAGATAAAGGAAATGTGGAGGGAAGAACTAATGTCTCAAAGAATATAAAGAAACAGAAAAAAGATTTAAAAGAGGAAGAATCCTATGACAAAAAATGAAAGATAGTAATGAAGAAGAAAAAGGCAAAAATATGGCAGAGATAAAGGAAATGTGGAGGGAAGAACTAATGTCTCAAAAGAATATAAAGAAACAGAAAAAGATTTACAATAGGAAGAATCCTATGACAAAAATGAAAAATAGTAATGAAGAAGAAAAGGCAAAAATGGCAGAGATAAAGGAAATGTGGAGGGAAGAACTAATGTCTCAAGAGAATATAAAAAAACAGAAAAAAGATTTACAAGAGGAAGAATCCTATGACAAAAATGAAAGATAGTAATGAAGAAAAAAAGGCAAAAATGGCAGAGATAAAAGGAAATGTGGAGGAAAGAACTAATGTCTCAAGAGAATATAAAGAAACAGAAAAAAGATTTAAAAGAGGAAGAATCCTAAGACAAAAATGAAAGATAGTAATGAAGAAGAAAAGGCAAAAATGGCAGAGATAAAAAAAATGGAGGGGAAGAACTAATGTCTCAAGAGAATATAAAAAGAAACAGAAAAAGATTTACAAGAGGAAGAATCCTATGACAAAAAATGAAAGATAGTAATGAAGAAGAAAAGGCAAAAAATGGCAGAGATAAAGGAAATGTGGAGGGAAGAACTAATGTCTCAAGAGAATATAAAGAAACAGAAAAAGATTTACAAGAGGAAGAATCCTATGACAAAAATGAAAGATAGTAATGAAGAAGAAAAGGCAAAATGGCAGAGATAAAGGAAATGTGGAGGGAAGAACTAATGTCTCAAGAGAATATAAAGAAACAGAAAAAGATTTACAAGAGGAAGAATCCTAAACAAAAATGAAAGATAGTAATGAAGAAGAAAAGGCAAAAATGGCAGAGATAAAGGAAATGTGGAGGAAGAACTAATGTCTCAAGAGAATATAAAGAAACAGAAAAAAGATTTAAAAGAGGAAGAATCCTATGACAAAAATGAAAGATAGTAATGAAGAAGAAAAAAGGCAAAATGGCAGAGATAAAGGAAATGTGGAGGGAAGAACTAATGTCTCAAGAGAATATAAAGAAACAGAAAAAAAAAAGATTTACAAGAGGAAGAATCCTATGACAAAAATGAAAGATAGTAATGAAGAAGAAAAAGCAAAAATGGCAGAGATAAAGGAAAAATGGAGGAAGAACTAATGTCTCAAGAGAATATAAAAGAAACAGAAAAAAAGATTTAAAAGAAGAAGAATCCTATGACAAAAATGAAAGATAGTAATGAAGAAGAAAAGGCAAAAATGGCAGAGATAAAGGAAATGTGGAGGGAAGAACTAATGTCTCAAGAGAATATAAAGAAACAGAAAAAGATTTACAAGAGGAAGAATCCTATGACAAAAATGAAAGATAGTAATGAAGAAGAAAAGGCAAAAATGGCAGAGATAAAGGAAATGTGGAGGGAAGAACTAATGTCTCAAGAGAATATAAAGAAACAGAAAAAGATTTACAAGAGGAAGAATCAGAAAAAAAAGATAGTAATGAAGAAGAAAAGAAAATCCAGAGATAAAGGAAATGTGGAGGGAAAAATGAAAGAATAGTAAAGAAACAGAAAAAAGATTTAAAAAAGAATCCTAAGACAAAAATGAAAGATAGTAATGAAGAAGAAAAAGGCAAAAAATAAATAAAGGAAATGGGAGGGAAGAACTAATGTCTCAAGAGAATATAAAAAACAGAAAAAAAGATTTACAAGAGGAAGAATCCTATGACAAAATGAAAGATAGTAATGAAGAAGAAAAAGGCAAAAATGGCAGAGATAAAGGAAATGTGGAGGGAAGAACTAATGTCTCAAGAGAATATAAAGAAACAGAAAAAAAGATTTACAAGAGGAAGAATCCTATGACAAAAATGAAAGAGTAATAATGAAGAAAAAAGGCAAAATGGGCAGAGATAAAGGAAATGTGGAGGAAGAACTAATGTCTCAAGAGAATATAAAGAAACAGAAAAAGATTTACAAGAGGAAGAATCCTATGACAAATATGAAAGATAGTAATGAAGAAAAAAAAGCAAAAATGGCAGAGATAAAAAATGTGGAGGGAAGAACTAATGTCTCAAGAGAATATAAAGAAACAGAAAAAGATTTACAAGAGGAAGAATCCTATGACAAAAAATAAAAAGATAGTAATGAAGAAAAAAAAAAAAAAATGGCAGAGATAAAGGAAATGTGGAGGGAAGAACTAATGTCTCAAGAGAATATAAAGAAACAGAAAAAAGATTTACAAGAGGAAGAATCCTATGACAAAAATGAAAGATAGTAATGAAGAAGAAAAAGGCAAAATGGCAGAGATAAAGGAAATGTGGAGGGAAGAACTAATGTCTCAAGAGAATATAAAAAAACAGAAAAAAGAAAGATTTACAAGAGGAAGAATCCTATGACAAAAATGAAAGATAGTAATGAAGAAGAAAAGGCAAAATGGCAGAGATAAAGGAAATGTGGAGGAAGAACTAATGTCTCAAGAGAATATAAAGAAACAGAAAAAGATTTACAAGAGGAAGAATCCTATGACAAAAATGAAAGATAGTAATGAAGAAGAAAAGGCAAAAATGGCAGAGATAAAGGAAATGTGGAGGGAAGAACTAATGTCTCAAGAGAATATAAAGAAACAGAAAAAGATTTAAAAGAGGAAGAATCCTATGACAAAAATGAAAGATAGTAATGAAGAAGAAAAGGCAAAAATGGCAGAGATAAAGGAAATGTGGAGGGAAGAACTAATGTCTCAAGAGAATATAAAGAAACAGAAAAAAAGATTTACAAGAGGAAGAATCCTATGACAAAAATGAAAGATAGTAATGAAGAAGAAAAAAGGCAAAATGGCAGAGATAAAGGAAATGTGGAGGAAGAACTAATGTCTCAAGAGAATATAAAGAAACAGAAAATGATTTAAAAGAGGAAGAATCCTATGACAAAAAAATGAAAGATAGTAATGAAGAAGAAAAAAAGGCAAAAATGGCAGAGATAAAGGAAATGTGGAGGAAGAACTAATGTCTCAAGAGAATATGAAGAAACAGAAAAAGATTTAAAAGAGGAAGAATCCTATGACAAAAATGAAAGATAGTAATGAAGAAGAAAAAAGCAAAAATGGCAGAGATAAAGGAAATGTGGAGGGAAGAACTAATGTCTCAAGAGAATATAAAGAAACAGAAAAAAGATTTACAAGAGGAAGAATCCTATGACAAAAATGAAAGATAGTAATGAAAAGAAAAAAGGCAAAATGGCAGAGAAAAGGAAATGTGGAAAAACTAATGTCTCAAGAGAATAAAAAGAAACAGAAAAGATTTAAAAAGGAAGAATAATGTCTCAAATGAAAGATATAAAGAAGAAGAAAAAGGCAAAAAAATGGCAGAGATAAAGGAAATGAGGAAGAACTAATGTCTCAAGAGAATATAAAGAAAAGAAAAAGATTTAAAAGAAAATCCTAGTAAAAAATGAAAGAAGAAAAGAAGAAAAAAAAATGGCAGAGATAAAGGAAATGTGGAGGAAGAACTAATGTCTCAAGAGAATATGAAGAAACAGAAAAAGATTTAAAGAGGAAGAATCCTATGACAAAAATGAAAGATAGTAATGAAGAAGAAAAAGGCAAAAATGGCAGAGATAAAGGAAATGTGGAGGGAAGAACTAATGTCTCAAGAGAATATAAAAAACAGAAAAAGATTTACAAGAGGAAGAATCCTATGATAAAAATGAAAGATAGTAATGAAGAAGAAAAGGCAAAAATGGCAGAGATAAAAGGAAATGTGGAGGGAAGAACTAATGTCTCAAGAGAATATAAAGAAACAGAAAAAGATTTACAAGAGGAAAAATCCTATGACAAAAATGAAAAATAATGAAAAGAAAAGGCAAAATGGCAGAGATAAAGGAAATGTGGAGGGAAGAACTAATGTCTCAAGAGAATATAAAGAAACAAAAAAGATTTACAAGAGGAAAAAAGGAAAAAATGAAAGATAGTAATGAAGAAGAAAAGGCTAAATGTCTAAAGGAAATGTGGAGGGAAGAACTAATGTCTCAAGAGAATATAAAGAAACAGAAAAAGATTTACAAGAGGAAGAATCCTATGACAAATATGAAAGATAGTAATGAAGAAAAAAAAGCAAAAATGGCAGAGATAAAGGAAATGTGGAGGGAAGAACTAATGTCTCAAGAGAATATGAAGAAACGGAAAAAGATTTAAAAGAGGAAGAATCCTATGACAAAAATGAAAGATAGTAATGAAGAAGAAAAGGCAAAAATGGCAGAGATAAAGGAAATGTGGAGGGAAGAACTAATGTCTCAAGAGAATATAAAGAAACAGAAAAAGATTTACAAGAGGAAGAATCCTATGATAAAAATGAAAGATAGTAATGAAGAAGAAAAGGCAAAAATGGCAGAGATAAAGTAAATGTGGAGGGAAGAACTAATGTCTCAAGAGAATATAAAGAAACAGAAAAAGATTTACAAGAGGAAGAATCCTATGACAAAAATGAAAGATAGTAATGAAGAAGAAAAGGCAAAAATGGCAGCGATAAAGGAAATGTGGAGGGAAGAACTAATGTCTCAAGAGAATATAAAGAAACAGAAAAAGATTTACAAGAGGAAGAATCCTATGACAAATATGAAAGAAAGTAATGAAGAAGAAAAAGCAAAAATGGCAGAGATAAAGGAAATGTGGAGGGAAGAACTAATGTCTCAAGAGAATATAAAGAAACAGAAAAAGATTTACAAGAGGAAGAATCCTATGACAAAAAATGAAAGATAGTAATGAAGAAGAAAAAAAGGCAAAAATGGCAGAGATAAAGGAAATGTGGAGGGAAGAACTAATGTCTCAAGAGAATATAAAGAAACAGAAAAAAGATTTAAAAGAAGAAGAATCCTATGACAAAATGAAAGATAGTAATGAAGAAGAAAAAAAACCAAAAATGGCAAAGATAAAGGAAATGTGGAGGGTAGAACTAATGTCTCAAGAGAATATAAAGAAACAGAAATAGATTTACAAGAGGAAGAATCCTATGACAAAAATGAAAGATAGTAATGAAGAAGAAAAGGCAAAAATGGCAAAGATAAAAGAAAACTTGGAGGGAAGAACTAATGTCTCAAGAGAATATAAAGAAACAGAAAAAGATTTACAAGAGGAAGAATCCTATGACAAAAATGAAAGATAGTAATGAAGAAGAAAAAAAGGCAAAAATGGCAGAGATAAAGGAAATGTGGAGGAAGAACTAATGTCTCAAGAGAATATAAAGAAACAGAAAAAAAGATTTACAAGAGGAAGAATCCTATGACAAAAATGAAAGATAGTAATGAAGAAAAAAGGCAAAAATGGCAGAGATAAAGGAAATGTGGAGGGAAGAACTAATGTCTCAAGAGAATATGAAGAAACAGAAAAAGATTTACAAGAGGAAGAATCCTATGACAAAAATGAAAGATAGTAATGAAGAAGAAAAGGCAAAAATGGCAGAGATAAAGGAAATGTGGAGGGAAGAACTAATGTCTCAAGAGAATATAAAGTAACAGAAAATGATTTACAAGAGGAAGAATCCTATGACAAAAATGAAAGATAGTAATGAAGAAGAAAAGGCAAAAATGGCAGAGATAAAGGAAATGTGGAGGGAAGAACTAATGTCTCAAGAGAATATGAAGAAACGGAAAAAGATTTAAAAGAGGAAGAATCCTATGACAAAAATGAAAGATAGTAATGAAGAAGAAAAGGCAAAAATGGCAGAGATAAAGGAAATGTTGAGGGAAGAACTAATGTCTCAAGAGAATATGAAGAAACGGAAAAAGATTTAAAAGAGGAAGAATCCTATGACAAAAATGAAAGATTGTAATGAAGAAGAAAAGGCAAAAATGGCAAAGATAAAGGAAATGTTGAGGGAAGAACTAATGTCTCAAGAGAATATGAAGAAACGGAAAAAAGATTTAAAAGAGGAAGAATCCTATGACAAAAAATGATAGATAGTAATGAAGAAGAAAAGGCAAAAATGGCAAAGATAAAGGAAATGTTGAGGAAGAACTAATGTCTCAAGAGAATATGAAGAAACAGAAAAAAAAGATTTACAAGAGGAAGAATCCTATGACAAAAATGAAAGATAGTAATGAAGAAGAAAAGGCAAAAATGGCTGAGATAAAGGAAATGTTGAGGGAAGAACTAATGTCTCAAGAGAATATGAAGAAACGGAAAAAGATTTACAAGAGGAAGAATCCTATGACAAATATGAAAGATAGTAATGAAGAAGAAAAGGCAAAAATGGTGAAGGCAGAATGGACAAAAGAAAACAAAAAGCAAGCAATAAAAAAAAAGGAAAAACTAAGCAAAGAATAATTGTTAGCAAAGAATAGCAAAAACTTATCATGAAGAAGTAGAAATAAAAAAATAGAAAAATATTTCTTTCACTTAGTTTAGTCTAACATAAGTTCAATGTACTGAAACATCCAGAGAATTTCAACATAAGTTATGACCTGCAAAACTAGCTAATGATTCTTATAATTCTGGACTGAAAAAAGAAAAGAAGAAAGCAGAAAAAAAAAGTGAAAGAAAGACAATGAAAAAGTAAGAGGTGGAAAAAAAAAGAAAGGAAAGCAAAGAAGAAAAAAAAAGTTAATTTAATAAAAAGATAAATTAAAGAAAGAAAACGCCAATATGCGAAAGAAGAAACAGACAAAGCCATAGTATAAAAAAAAAAAACGAAAAGGAAATGTGATAAAAAAACCAAGTTTGAACTGGGGAGATGATAAAGAAAGAAAACATAAGAAAAATCAATGAAGGAAGACTTGATCTCTCTAATGCAATCTATTCACTTCTGAGCATACGTTTGTGAACAGCTTTTATTCATTCGCCATGTCCTTTAAAAAATAAAAAAAAGCCTGGATCTTTATGTCCATTAACAAAATGGCACACTTGTCATATTAAATACAAGAGCACTTTTCACTCAGAATCTCATTTCGTTTCTTGATACTTTTTTCTCTATCAGTTGATGATAAATCTACAGGCATCTCCTGTTTTATTTTAAGTTTTTTTCCCATTTTATTGTTTCCCATGTCTCATCCTGGGACACCCTTACAACTTAACCTTCTACAACCACTTATAATGACCTGCTATTTTTTTTCTTTATATGTTTTTATTTTCCTAGACTAATAGTCTCATAAAAGCCAGTTTTCTATTTTTTCTTTACCCTTCATTACAAACCAAGTAGCCAATCAGTTAGACAACCAGATTGTGCCTCTTTCTCATTGGCTGTCTAAGGTACATCACATTTTATGGTACTTTCCCTGATAAGAGAGACAATAATAAAAGGTACTAGTACTGGGCTTGAGCAAATATTTCCCAGAAGCCTTTTTGACTAGCCATTTATTTTACTTTTTTTGTTGATGGTCTGTCCTGATTTTTTCTATGAATGAAAAAAAAAAAAGAAAGTAAAAGACAAGCATGTATTAATTTTATTCTTTATTTTTTTTTTTATTACAACACTGTCTACCATGTTTGACTTTTTGTTAAGATATTGCAATTTTTTTTACTATTTTTTTGTTTATGTCCCCTCCCACTTTTCTTTCTTTTCTTTTTTTTGTTTGTTTTATTACTTGCCTGTCATTCTAATATTTTTCTTTCTTTTTTCATTTGTATATTTGTGCTCCCTTTTCAACCTTATACAACTCCTTCCCTGTCAATCTAATAGAATTTTTCTTCCTTTTTTTCTATATTTTGCTCCACTCTTTTCTTTTCTTTTTTTTACACCTCCCTGTCTTTCTAATATTATTTTTCTTTCTTTTTTTCTTTTTGTATATTTAGGCTCCCCTTTCTTTTCTTTTATACTATTCCTTCACTGTCATTCTAACAGTATTTTTTCTTTTTTTTGCTTTTCTATATTTTTGCTCCTCTCTTTTCTTTTCTTTTTTACTCCTTCCCTGTCTTTCTAATACTATTTTTCTTTGTTTTCTATATTTTTGCTCCCCTCTTTTCTTTTTTACTCCTTCCCTGTCTTTCTAATACTATTTTTCTTTGTTTTCTATATTCGGATATAAGAGACCCGGATATAAGAAAACCCGGATATAAGAATTTTTCTGGTCCCAAATTTTTAGAGCCTGTGTTATTGTAAAATAAAATAGACCAAATCTTTTTATAAGAAAAAATGGAATTCCTTTCTGTAGACAACTTCTTCTCCTGTCTGACAACTTTTCTTGTTTTCTTATTTGCTCCTTTTCCGGGTTTCCATCTTTCTGTATTATTTTTCTTTGTTTTCTATATTTTTTGCTCCCCTTTTTCTTTTTTTTTTTACAATGTCTTTCTAATACTTTTTCTTTGTTTTCTATATTTTCCTCCTCTTTTCTTTTCTTTTTATGTAGTATTATTTTTCTTTGTTTTCTATTTTTTGCTCCCCTTTTTCTTTTCTTTTTTACTCCTTCCATTTTTCTTTCTAATACTTTTTTTTTCCCTGTTTTCTAATACTTTTCTTTGTTTTCTATATTTTTTCTCCCTCTTTTCTCTTCTTTTTTTTCTACTCCTGCCCTGTCTATTTTGCTAATATTATTTTTTTATCACCCTGTTTGTTTTTTCTATATTTTGCTCCCCTCTTTTTTTTTTTCCTTTTACTCCTTCCCTGTCTTTCTAATACTATTTTTCTTTATTTCTATTTTTTTTTCTTTTTTTTTATTTTGCTCCCCTTTTCTTTTTTTTTCCTTCTTTTTCTTTCTTATTTTTTTTTCTTTTGTTTTTCCCTACATTTTCTTTTTTTTTCTTTTTTTGGCCCCACTTTTTTTCTTTTTTTTTCTTTATTTTTTGCTCCTTTTTTCCCTTATCTTCCTAATACTATTTTTTTTTTTTTTTTTTCTATATTTTTGCTCCCCTTTTCTTTTTTTTTACTCTACCCTGTCTTTTAGTATACTATTTTTCTTTTTTTTCTATATTTTTTGCTCCCCTTTTTTTTTTTTTTTTTTATTCCTTCCTGTCATTCTAATATTATTTTTCTTTTTTTGTTTTCTTATTTTTGCTTTCTTTCTTATCCTTCCTGTCTTTCTAATACTATTTTTCTTTTCTTTTTTGCTCCCTTTTCTTTTCTTTTTTACTTCCCTTCCCTGTCTTTCTAATACTATTTTTCATTTTTCTATATTTTTGCTCCCTTTTTTTTTTCTATTTTTTTTCTTTCTAACCCTATATACCCTTTTTTTTTTTTTTTTCCTTTTTTTCCTTCCCTGTCTTTCAAATACTATTTTTCTTTGTTTTCTATATTTTTGCTCCCCTTTTTCTTTTTTTTTTACTCCTTCCTGTCTTTCTAATATTATTTTCTTTGTTTTCTATATTTTCCCCTCCCCTTCCTTCTTTTCTAATATTATTTTTTTTGTTTTCTATATTTTTTCCCTCTTTTCTTTTTCTTTTACTACATTGTCTTTCTTTTTTCTATATTTTTGCTCCCCTTTTTTCTTTTCTTTTTTACTCCTTCCCTGTCTTTCTAATATTATTTTTCTTTGTTTTCTATATTTTTGCTCCCCTCTTTTCTTTTCTTTTTTACTCCTTCCCTGTCTTTCTAATACTATTTTTCTTTGTTTTCTATATTTTTGCTTCCCTTTTTCTTTTTTACTCCTTCCTGTCTTTCTTTACTATTTTTATTTTTGTCTTTTTTTTTTTACTATATTTTAATACTCTTTCTTTCTTTTTATTTTTACTTTTCCTGTCTTTTGTCTAATATTTTTCTTTGTTTTCTATATTTTTCCTCCCATCTTTTCTCTTCTTTTTTACTCCTTCCCTGTCATTCTAATATTATTTTTCTTTGTTTCTATATTTTTGCTCCCCGCTTTTCTCTTCTTTTTTTCTCCTTCCCTGTCTTTCTAATACTATTTTTCTTTGTTTTCTATATTTTTTGCTCCTCTTTTTTTTTTTTTTACTCCTTCCTGTCTTTCTAATACTATTTTTCTTTTGTTTTCTATATTTTGCTCCCTCTTTTCTTTTCTTTTTTTACTCCTTCCTGTCTTTCTAATACTATTTTTCTTTTTGTTTCTATATTTTTGCTCCCCTTTTTTTTTTACTCCCTGTCTTTTCTTTATTTTTTCTTTGTTTTCTTTTTTTTTTTTTCCCTCTTTTTTTTTTTTTACTCTTCCTCTTTCTAATACTATTTTTCTTTGTTTTCTATATTTTGCTCCCCTTTTTTTTTTTTTCTTTTTTTTACTCCTTCCTGTCTTTCTAATACTATTTTTCTTTTGTTTTCTATATTTTTTGCTTCCCTTTTTTTTTTTACCCCCTTTTTCTAGTATTATTTTTTTTTTTTCTATATTTTTCTCCCATCTTTTCTTTTCTTTTTTTTACTTTCCCTGTCATTCTAATATTTTTTTTTGTTTTTTATATTTTTGCTCCCCTTTTCTTTTTTTTTTCTCCTTCCCTGTCTTTCTAATACTATTTTCTTTTTGTTTCTATATTTTGCTCCTCTTTTTTCTTTTCTTTTTTACTCTTTCCTGTCTTTCTAATAATATTTTCTTTGTTTTCTATATTTTTGCTCCCCTTTTTCTTTTCTTTTTACTCATTCCCTGTCTTTCTAATACTATTTTTCTTTTGTTTTCTATATTTTTGCTCCCTTTTTTTTTTTTTTTTTTATTCTTTCCCTTTCTATTTTTTTTTTTTTTTCTATTTTTTGCTCCTTTTTTTTTTCTTTTTTACTCCTTCCTGTCTTTCTAATACTATTTTTTTTTTTGTTTTCTATATTTTGCTCCCCTTTTTCTTTTTTTTACTCCTTCCCTGTCTTTGTAATACTATTTTTCTTTTGTTTTCTATATTTTTGCCTCCCTTTTTTTTTTTCTTTTTACTCCTTCCCTGTCTTTTATAATTTTTCTTTGTTTTCTATATTTTTGCTATTTTTTTCTTTTTTTTTTTTACTTTTCTTTGTATATTTTTCTTTGTTTTCTCCCTCCTTTTTTTTTTTTTTTTACTCTTTCCATGTCTTTCTAATACTATTTTTCTATATTTTTGCTTTCCCTTTTTTTTCTTTTTACCCTTCCATTTCTTTCTTTTATTTTTCTTTTTTCTACTTTTTCTTTTTTTTCTTTTTACTAATATTTTTTCTTTTTTTTTTTTTTTTTCCCTATTTTTGCTTTTTTTTTTTTTTTTCTCCCCTCCCTTCCTTTGTCTTTGTAATACTATTTTTCTTTGTTTTCTATATTTTTGCTCCCCTCTTTTCTTTTCTTTTTTACTCCTTCCATGTCTTTCTAATACTATTTTTCTTTGTTTTCTATATTTTTGCTCCCCTCTTTTCTTTTCTTTTTTACTCCTTCCATGTCTTTGTAATACTATTTTTCTTTGTTTCTATATTTTTGCTCCCTTTTTTTCTTTTCTTTTTTACTCCTTCCCTGTCTTTGTAATACTATTTTTCTTTGTTTTCTATATTTTTGCTCCCCTCTTTTCTTTTTTACTCCTTCCCTGTCTTTCTCATGGTATTTTCTTTTTTCTTTTATATCTTTTTTCTCCACTCTTTTCTTTTCTTTTTTTCAACTTTTTCACATTCTTTCTAATACTATTTTTCTTTCTTTTTCCTTTTCCATGTTTGTTCTCCCCCTTCTTTTTTTTTCTTTTTTACTTCTTCCTCATCATGCTAATGTGATTTTTCTCTCTTTTTTTCTCCATATTTTTACTCCTGTCATTCAAATACCCCTTTTCTTTCTTTTTCTTTAACGTTTTTTTTTATTCTAA